CTTCTTCAATGTAAGTGCCTACTGATAAGTTTTAAAGTTGGTTCCACCTACTAATGTCAATTATGATCCATCAATTTTTTACCAAACAGTTAATTGAACATATGCAAAGATTGGTCATTTAGTTTTGTTTTTTCTCTTAAATTTTAAATAAAAGATAAAATTATATAAAACTGAAATAAGTACTAATAATTCATCTCAATCTTTGGATTAATGTTTACAACAATTTGTTGTTAATTCACGTCGGAAGATGCCTCAGATTCATCCGAAATCACTGATGGGTGATGCGCCAAATTCATCAAAATCTCCACCGCATCCGCTGCATGAGTACACACCGGATCACGCGACAAATTCATCAAAATATCTGCATGAGTACACGCTGGATGACACGCTAGATTTGCCACAAACCAAGGTGTTAGAACCATTGCCAGAAGACACGCTAGATCTTCGCGGATGAAGTTAGGAAAGAGTGAAATCCCACCCCCTAGCTAAGCCACCAGGGCATCTGAGAGTTTTTGTTTCTTCGAAGCAAGAAGACTTAAGGTGAAAATAACTGTAAATAAATAATTTATACATAAGATCTTCCAAAATAAACGAACATATGTTCCAAAATATAACAATTTGTACAAATTATACTATAAGATCACGATCACAAGACAAAAATACTTTTAGATTTAAAATACAAACAAATTACATTCTTTGACAATAGCCCTGGCCAATGGAATATCTCTTATTAAAAGCAATTCAGTTTGAAGTGATTGGATTCTTCTAGAAATAGAAGAAATCTCTTCAATAAGCGGCATTCCGTTAATTTTAAAAAAAAATTGATTTATTTGCAATGTAAGCAAAAAAATAGAGGCACAATCTTAAACAAATTCAAAACGAATCAGAGAAACATATCTTAAACAAAATTAGAAGAAAATATGAAATCATACTTTGAGGTATCGTTTGGGAATGTGAGCAATCAATCACGATGACAAATATATCTCTATATATTATAAACTATACTTGACAAAAATAAGAAATTAGATTGGGCTTAGGGACTTTTGAATCATAGTTTTTTTTTTATTTTTGTCAAACTAGAGTTTACTATAGTTGATAAATATATCTGGCTCAATCCATAAATATTGTTTACTGTCTAGAGAGAGTTTTTTACTTTAAATTTCATTGTCTGGATGAACCATCTAATAATTATTGCTACATTAACAAGCTATATATTATAATTTTGCAATAAGGTTAACACGCATGTTACATCTGTATAAACGCTCTATAATCATTGTATAAACATTATAAAAGGTCATATAAGCACCGAATACTTGCCGTATATATGCCATATTAATACTCTATATGCACTATTTATGCGTTGTATGAACACCACAGATGCGCCATATAGCCAAAAGTTGATATTTTTTGGGCAATTGACTCAATTTTATTAAGATTTTTGTAGTGGCTCAAATATTTGTTATAATTTAATAATGAGACTATCAATATAATTTCTTTTTCTTTTTCTAGGGGATATGATTTTTTTATCATTTGAAATATTTCTTTTATAAGGACAGTTATAAAGATAATTATGCTAAATACAATATAACTATTCTATAAAAATCCACCATATATATGCGACCACTAACAACTTGCACTATGTTATAAATTTTTTTAATCTGTTTGTCTCCAATGACCTGCATAAATTTTCCTTAACCTGATTACTTCCAATAACTTTTGCAATTCCACAAAACAATTTTAGCAGTAATCTGCATTTTCTCAATCATTAATGAACACTTTAGTAAACCACTGAATAAATAGAGATTCCACAGAGATGTCATTCCAAAAGCGATTTATATTTGCATAATTTAAACTTTTTGTTTATAAGTTAGTAGCAACTAGGTAATAACATGTGCTCTGCGTGGAGTGAAATATCTTTTATTTAATTAATCAAGAATTAATTTTATATAACATAATATATTTGTTTTTTTATTATTCGTTTTGTATAATCTATCTATATATATAAAGTAAGTTTTTCTCTCTTCTGGTGCTGCCACCTCAGCAATCCCTTCATTAATTATTTTTTATTTAAATTCTTTTAAAACACAAAATAACATTAACATTCAATATAAGAAAATAGTAAATATTCAAAGGTAATTATAATACATAAAATATTAATATTCAATATAAAATTACAAAACTAAATAGACAATTATAATATGTTGTCAGAAAATAAAATAAAATAAAACTAAAAAATAATTACATACATTAGCTCTAAGTATTTTAATATTCAAGGCTGATTTCTGCAAGTGTATGATGGAATTGGTAATTAAAAAGACGGAAAACAATACAAATTAACATTAATATTCAATATAAAAAATAACAAACATAAAAACACAATTATAATATATTGTCAGAAAATAAAAACCAACCAAATACAAAATAACAAAACAAAAAATTAATGATATACATTAACTCTAAGTATTCTATGATTGAAAACAGCTCGATCATAAAATATATGATATTAAATATAGGTACCTGCCATGATTTTGTTGTTGAGATAATTTTGGGGTGAAAATATGGAGAGATGAGGGAAGCTTTAGGATGGTATTTGTAGGGCGGATGAAAGGGAGCAATTGAGTGTGCGAGTTGAGTAGTGGGGGTCGCATTGAAGGTGGTATAATGAAGAAACGTGGAATTAATGGTTGGCGTTACAGCTGTGGAGTTATCGTTACGAATAACAGCTTCTACTGAGAAAGAGATAAGCTGATGCGGCCGCCATGGGAGATGAATGTGTAGGGTTCCGATGATTTGTTTTTTTGGGCCTGGGGTACACCAAAACTCTCAATGTGAATTGGACCTTAAAGTATTCAGTTTTGTTTGGAAAATATGGATTTAATTAGTTATGGTGAAGCTAGAAATAGATATATGTGGACGATTGGTTTAATTTAGCTATATATGGAGATAAATTATTAAAGCTTAGATGGAGAGACAGCTGGCTGCTGGTAGTATTTCAAAATTTACTGTAAAAATTTCCGAGTGTGAGATGGGAATTGGTAATAAGAAAAATGGAAAACAATAAAAGTTAACATTAACATTCAATATAAAAAATAACAAACATATAACGGCAATTGTAATGTGTTATCAGAAAATAAAAATCAACAAAATACAAAATAACAAAACAAAAAATAAGAGATACAATAGTTCTGAATATTTCATGATTTAAAATAGGAATTTACAAGTGTGTGACGAGAATTAGTAATTAAAAAAAATATTATCATTCAATATAAAAAATAGCAAACATAAAAACACAATTACAATGTGTTGTCAAAAAATAAAAAAATCAACAAAGTACAATAAAAAAATACTGATATACATTAGCTATGAGTAAATTAAGATTCAAGGCGGATTACGAATATGTAACGGGAATTGGTTATTAGAAAGACGAAAAATATTAAAAAAGTATTAACATTCAATATAAAAAATAGGAAACATAAAAAAAACAATTGCAATATGTTGTCATAAAATAAAAAATAAAAATAAAAAATACAATAGAAAAAACTAATAAATAAAAATATACATTAGTTCTGTTTATTTCAAGATTCAATGCGGAAATTTACGAGTGTCTAACGAGCATTGACAATTATAAAGACAGAAAACAATAAAAACTAATATTAACATTCAATATAAAAATAGCAAACATAAAAATTTAAACTATAATGTGTTGTTAGAAAATAAAAAATCATCAAATTCCAAAATAAAATAAAAACCAAAAATAATGATATACATTAGCTCTGGGTATTTCAAAATTCAAGGTGGAAATTTACGAGTGTGTGATAGAAATTAGTAATTAAAAAGACGGAAAACGATTTCCAAAGAAAATTCAATAAAAATGGAATAGAAAATTCGGGTAATGAGACAGGTTCGAGAAATTGCATTATCTAAAATCTATTGACAAATTTTCAATAATTTGGATGAAAGTCAACTTCATAATAAATATTTTGGGAATATTCAGAAAAAGTCGAAGAAATTTTAGAACATTATATAATTTTAAGAATTTTAACTCTCAAATGGATATTTCGGATACTTAATATCACATATGTTATATTTTCTTATTTGTTTGAATTTAACCAAATAATTTTGAATTGATAACAAACACAATATAAAAATAATAAACAAATCATAAAATCTTCAGAGCTATATGATACAATAAATACAATATAAAAATTACATAAAATGATTATCAAATTCGCTGTGTTGGATAGATCACAAACTAGAGTTTCAAAAAAATAGAAAATTCGAGTCATGTACAGGTGAGAAATAGAAATTCATCTTAAAAGTTTCAAGGATATACGATACAACAAGTATAATACCAAAAATGTATAAAAATAATTCACATAGCCGTGCGTAGCGCGGTTCACCAACTAGTATATATATAAAGGAGAAGTTGCTCTCTTCTTAGGCTGCCACCTCATCCACTCCTATCTCCTAATACTGACACGTCATCAAATTTATTTTATTAAAATTTATTTAATTTATTATGTTTTATGTTCTTCAATCTTTCAATTCTTATAATAACTAATATTTATTAGTATAATAAAATTTAAATAGAATATGAAAAGTCATTTAATCATAAAAATTAAGTTATATATTGATTTAAAAAAATTTTAATTTAATAATTGTAGTTTTTTTTGTGAGAACAATTTTATTGATATAAAATAAGGATTACAAAGTCAGATATACAAAACTTCCGGAAAGTAAATTATTACATAAGCAATATATGTGCCATATATTGAAAAAGATACAACATGATGAAAAGTAAATTTGACAAGTAAATTGCACTTGCTAACGAAAAAATAAATTCGTTATTTTTCTTCTCTGTATGCGATCTCTCTCTGATGCAAATGTGTGTTGGCTAGCAATTCTTGGCTGAAGCACGTAATTACACATAGCATGATAAAACCCAATACTTCCGTTTGATGAAATTCTGTTTCTATAAATAGATACCAAATTATTGGTGTTCAATACCTTCTAACAGGGTTTGGCTTTGATATTGTACTCCTTGAATTCATCAATGGACATAGTCTCTGATTATTATAGATGTTTTCCTCTTTAAATTTTGCAAATATGCTAAACGATGCCTTGGTCATAACAGAGGACTTCTGGTGAACACCAACTCGCTTCTGGAAGAAGTTTGTTTTACCCTCAAGCGAGATTAACTCCATCCAATCAAATGGATTCGCTACATCATAAACCTTTCCGTACCTAAGCGCATCCAAAAGCCTATCAACAAAAAATTTGATATAATGGCTCATCAGGTCCCGATTCATTCCCACGAACACGTATGAAAGCGCATCACACACAAACTCCCTCTCGATCTCGACGGCGTCGCAGACGATTGCCTTCATGCGTTCTTCCGAAAGCTTCGTCCTCAATAGAGTGTAGATGAGGCACGCGAAATCGCAGTGAAGGCCTTCGTCTCGAGATATTAACTCGTTGGAGAAGGCCAGTCCTGGCATGAGTCCGCGTTTCTTCAGCCAGAAATCGAGCAGAAGATACCTTTGATGCAGGCAAAAGCGACGATACGCTCCGCAGAAGTCTGAGATCTGTCGATCCACGTCTTCGCCCACTGCGCCTTCTTCGCGATGCAAGGGATGGTTTTCGATTGCGCAAAATAGATTGTCTCTCTCCTTGTATCCTTGATGTATGTGTCGAGAAGGAGGCTGTACATCTCGGAATGATTAGAGAAAATGGCTGAAGGCTCTTCATCTGAATTTTCAATATATATGCCTAGATCCCAAATCAAAACGGTTACATAATTGAACCGAAAGATGTACAAAATTTAATAATTGTAGTTATGTCATATTTATAGTTAGAGAAAAAAATATTGATTTTCTGTCAACAAATATTATTTATAAGTATGCAATAAACTTATAAATGTTATAAGAAAGAAAAAAAAAACATACATTTACATGGTTAGATATAAAGTAGAAGTTGCTCTCTTCTTAGGCTGCCACCTCATCCACTCCTATCTCCAAATGGTGACACGTCATCAAATATTTTTATTAAATTTTATTTATTTATTATATTTTATGTTCTTTATTATTTCAACTAAATTTTTATCCGCTTGTGTGCAGACTTATTCATTAATTTTATTAAAAATATATATATTTATATATATTATATTAAATTAATATTATTGTATGTTATATTTTTCTTTTATTTTTTAAATGTTTTTGTTGTCCTAATATATATCTATATTGTAAAATTTTCTAATATAGATTGTCATGTATTGATTGTTATATTTTTACTATTTATCTGTATTCAATTGATTTCTCATCTTTTTCTACATCTTCCTTTCATAGATCAACAAAGTGAAATCATCATTACTCTTTTTCCACTCTAAACTAAATATTCTTTTAATTTTTTATGGAATCTACCTCATTTTCAAGCACAATTAGTCATTTAATCTTTCTCCTTTCTTATAGCTCTTAGTCTCGCTATTCTGATTGCAATCTACTGATTTTTTTCTTTTATTTCATGCAAGCTTCCATATCATTCAGTTCTGTGATCGGTTATAACTCTAAATGAGGAGAATTTTAGTTAGAGTTGGCTAGATAGAGTAAAAAGATCTGTTCAAATACTACATATGTTTGATGGGGTTTTATATCAAAAAAATTATGCATAGTTGATAAATTGTTGATTTTAATTGATTTGAGGCATTTTTTTTTCAATGATGAACTACTTCACTATATTTGTGAATGTGTGAGAATATTTTTGTCTATTTTCATAACATTTGAATATAAACAAAATGACTATCTTAAAAAGTATAATCAATAATCTTGTTTTGGTTTATTTATATATTTTAAATTAAAACTCATATATTATCCGGTTGATGAGTAATGTGATCGCATATCAATTTTATATTACCATCATTAAAAAATGGTTGATAAGTATTTGCCATTTTTTCCTCCTTCGTATAAATCAAATTCATTTGTATGCTATATAATTACACACTTTATTTTTCTTTATTTATAAAAAAGTTTCATTCATTTTATACAGTAAAGTGGATATGAATGATTTTACTTTAGTTTTAAGCATTACTATTTCAGAGCATTTTTAAATAAGTTTGATAACTATTCTCAGCAAATTCTTCTGTCATATTTTGTAATTGTTCATTTTCCAACTCTTTTTTCAAATTATGTTTATTTATATTCAAAATAACTTTTTGAATTTTTTATTTCAAAGAGAATTTATAGTTTTTTTTAGTTTATAAAATAAGTATTTTTTTAATATATATGATTTTACTTTAGCTTTATATATAAATCTTTCTAAGGTTTTTTTTATAAAGTTTGGTAATTATTTTGTGTAAGTTTTTGGAATAAATCCGTCCAAACCCCTTTTCACAAATGAAGAATTTGTAATTTTTATGATTTATAAAATAAGTATTTTTTTTCAAATTAGTCATATTAAAAGCCCAAAAATAAATAACAAAAATATTAAAACTTAAAAAGAAAACCCAAAATATTTAAAAACCTATTTTAAAATAAAAATTATGCTGATGGAGACACCTTAGATAGAGAGATAACTTGCTCATTATATATATAATTCCTATAATAACTAACATTTAGTAGTATAATAAATTTAAATAGAATATAAAAAGTTATTTAATCATAAAAATTAAGTTATATATTGATCTAAAAAAACTTTAATTGTAGTTATGTCATATTTATAGTTAGAGAAAGAAATATTGATTTTTTTATCAGCAAATATTATTTATAGGTATGCAATAAACCTATATATGTTATAAGAAAGAAACAAAAACATACATTTTCATGGTTAGAATTCAATGTCTAAGAGAGAGAGAGAGAGAGAGAGAGAGAGAGAGAGAGAGAGAGAGAGAGAGAGAAGGTCGATCAGAAAAGAACTATAGAGTAAATAACAAAGATTAAGTTAATGTAAAGGAACTTTATTTTAATAATCGTAGTTATGTCATATTTATAGTTAGAGAAAAAAGTATTAATTTTTTTTGTCAACAAATATTACTTATATAAGTTATAAGAAAGAAACAAAGACATATATTTTCATGGTTAGAATTCATTGTCTAAGCGAATGAGATTCCAAATTTTAGAGAGCATATTCAACACAATCTTCGAATAGAAAATAAACAATGTTTTATAAAAAAATAGACAACACTTGCGCTAAAGAAAACACGTTTAAAAGGTTGAGAGAAAAAAAAATTACAGAAAGTTAGAAAAGATTAAATTAATTTACGTCAAAATATTTTGTATGTTATATTTATGATAGAAAGAGAGAATAGTGTATCTTGAATTAACATTAATCATATGAAACTTTTATGAAAAAGATTAATATTATGCAAAATATATTTAAAAACTATTAGCCGCTTCAGAAGAAAAATTAATATTATATGAATAAACATTCAATTCTTAAAAATAGAGAAATATAAGTATAATATAATTTTTTACATCTAAAGTTATTAAATGAGACCAATATTAAATATGTAAATACTTAAATTTTATTCTTAAATATGTATATTCAAATGATAATATAAAATATTATTTATGAACCCAACATAAAAATATTAATAACTAAATAATATAGTATTTTATATATTATTGTCTTTGATAATAGTGTAAACTTCCGCGCATAGTGCGGATTACACACTAGTATGATAGTAAACTGTTGATAATATAATAGAGTTTTTTATGTATATTAGTAAAATCGGATTATGTTGTACACTGTTTTACTTTAATAAGTTTAAATATGAGTTTAAATAATATAAAAATAGATATAAATAACTTAAATTGTGAAAACACCAAAATATGCTTCCAAAATAATTAAAAACTAAAAATATTTAACTACTTTAAAGAGACCAATGTATTTTGACTGATTTGTAGTACTTATTGATTGATATAATTATAAAAATAATGCTTTTATATCCTTAAATTATTTTAGGATTAATAAATAAGTATTATAACGGTTAACCAAAAAAGAGGATTTCAAACAAAAGAGGGAATGGATAGCATTTGGAGTACCACTCGCTACCGAAATTACCAACCATTAAAAAGGTTCACTACTTTTCAAATCAATTCTTAGTAAAGACATTATCTTATAATAAGAAAACAAAACACATAAAATAATTGACGTATATAAAATGAACAAATGCTGCAACTATATGACTTGGAATTGATGTTTAAAAGGTTTCAGATCAGTAACCAACTAAAAGATACCATGAGCAGTAACTATAGAAAAACTTTAAAAAGAAAATGTAAAAAGAAAATGATGTTTGAGTGTATAGGACACATATTTTTATATAAGGGATAGCACAATTAGGAATTAGGATATATGGGGCTATTATATTTATGGGATATGCCTTTTTAAAATATTAGAAAATTAATTAAGAATTCATTCACTTATGGATACAAAATAAATCCTCTATTAACTTCATGATCATAGTTACGTTATTGTTTCATTACTAATAAATTATGTATTAATGTCATATATGCTATTAATCATGAGTTGAGTTTTGCAATTAATCATTTAATGCAGAATATTTAGAATTCAGTCAAAAATTAGGATATATGGGGCTTAGTATTTACGACACATATATGGATCCCCTTCTAATTATTAAATCCTATATATAACCTCGAGAATATAGCAGTAAATAATATAATTAAAATTAAAAGTTAATGTAGATGATTTAAAATTTACTATTTATCAATTTAGGATGATATGATTAAAATTTCAATTTAATGCAACCGATCCACAATTCAACCATAGTAATAATTATGGATTCAAAACAATAAGTACTGAATATTAATAATTGACTATTAAGGAAACAAAAACGAATTGATGATATTAAAGAAACAATTTCGGTTATATTTATTTATATATATATATATATATATCTCAAGGCATGTATTAAATTAGTAAACAATAAAGTTCCTTATTTAATTAGAAGTTACATTTTTAGTCGAAGTCAGAATAATAAGAATTAAGTTAGTAGGACTGGTTGTGTTCAATTGTGAAAACTTCATTGTCATGGTTCAAATCCACAATACTTCTTCTTATATTAGAAAATAATTTTGTATTTTTTTTGGTAAGTGCCATTACGAATTTATTTAAAAATTGATTGAGTTTTACTTTATATCACTGTATTATTGATTATGTATAATAAATTATTTCTCTCAGTAATATAGAAGCTGAATATATTTTAAAAATTCATCATATTATTCATAATGGCAAATAAAATTATATGACTCATATATTTAATTGGATGAGTTTTTTTTTTAAATTAATATGATTTAGTAATATATTATTTGAATACTTTATAAAAGTATAACATGTGTTTGGTCATAACAATGCATAATGACATAGCATGTAAATATTGTAGTAACATAAGTCTTTTTTCATAAAAATTCTGAGAAGCTCATGGTAGTGACACATAAACAAAATAGCACCACTATAATATTTTATAAATTTAAGATTATTCTCTAAAAATACTTCTCAATTAATATATAGGGAATTTACATGCTATCAACCGCCTTCTGCTACTATAAACATCAAAGGGCAATAACTTTTCACAAGGCCATAGTCTTCTGGTCATAAATTTTAAGATGTTGATCTTTATATCTTTTTCACATTTATACTCTTTAATCGGAAAGTAAAATAATTTGAGAAAAAAACAGGTTACAGATCTGCTAAAGTTGT